TTGAATTATCAATAATCCCCTTTTAGGCTTGAAGTTTAACAAAAAACGGTTATGAGCTTTGAGCCTTAAATATTTGTCTAAATGTTGTTTTTCTACTCACAGGCATAGTTGAGAGCAAATATTTGCAAAATCCTAATTATTTTAAAAATGAATAAACCTATCACTCAAATCCTCTTAATTTTGCATAAATAACCCTTCGGTATATGTGTCATTGTCTCAAACATCTACCATCTAGAAAATCCTACACTCAAAAGATGTGATGGAAGTGAGTCTTCTGTTTTTTATAATTTAAAGCTGGAAAAAACAATTTCATAACGATATGCTATCATATATGTTCAATTAGTGTAAAATTCAATTCATGACTGAATATTTAATCAGTTTTTTTAAATTACCTTATTTTATCCATGTTCCGTCATCATGTTTTAAAATTTCTATAATTCAGTGATGGTATCCTCTCACTTAAATATTATTTGGGATAATTTAATTAATTCTCACCCTATGTCTTCGTGTTTTGGTGTTCGAGCATAAGCGGGATAAATTTCTTATCATTAATTCCTCATCAAAATTGGGCATCTTTCTCACCAAATAAAAAATTTTAAATTTTGGAGTTTTTTTAATAATTCTGTACTTAATTTAAGACTAATGATCAATTTGTCCCAGACCTAACTTGAGGTCTATATTTTTTCCAAACATTCAGAATGATTTCCCAGGAGCATTTGTGTTGACAGCACGTTTTAAATTATTTTTCTTCTGCTCTCAGCATCTTCCGATGAAAAATTGTTATAAATACTTAAAGGAGTGTATGGTTGGCGCTTTTTAATCAATTTAGCCGATATTTGGTCGAACATGCTCTTTTACCATGGAACTAGTTGTTCAGCTCATAGGATATTAAGTCTCATGAGGGTATCAATAGCTGGAGTGCCAATCTAAAAGAAATCTGTAAGAATAAACTATCACTTCCTATAATCGTTAATATTTTTGCTCTAGAAAAATAAGCAATGTTCACTATGATGACTTTTTTCAGAAGCCAGTTCCATACCATACTTAACATCGTGTTATTTGTTAAGCATTCCTATAAGATTATTGGAAAAAAGTCAAAATGCATTTGCATTTTTAAAACCTTCAGTGATTTCTCGCACTTAATGAATTTAAGAGTCTAATTTGCAACTCCATCGATGTAGTACAAACTGCCTTTGACATAACTTTGCATAGGAGCCACGGTTTAAACAATGTCAAGCACAACCCTATCCCACCTTGATCATTCTTCTAGTTCTTACAAACTTCTTGGAGTTAAAATTTGCGCCCGAATCCACTTCCATCCAAATTTACATTAAAAATTCCTGTTAACATATCCTGAATGGTAAGTAAGTGGACAGATTATGCACATTCGCATATTACCGATCAATACACACTTGCATTAAGGCTTTTACAGCAGTGATTGCCCTTTCTATTGACTTTCAGCACAGCACTTCCATTCTCTATTTGATATTTTTCCATCTGATGGGAAATTATAACTTTTGCAGACCATCGATGCATAGCAATTTCCCATTCCTTTGTAAGTAAGGATAATTTCGGGATTTATCCACAATTTAGGAAAAGGACTGGTGCCCTGCTAGCAGTCGCTAAAGGGTACCGGAACGTTTAAACACATTAACGATCTGTTCCACTATATAAATTGAATTCAAAAGTCATCAGCTTCTGGAATTTTTAAAATTTGTAAAGGTTCTTTTTATTAGCACATTTTACTTCGAATTGGGACAATTTGGCAACGATAGGTAGACCTGGACCGCTTTAAGCTTCATTCATTTGTATTTAACAGTAATCAATTAATTGCGTTTACCACTTGTTCGTGGACAACCGATCAATGATAAATATTTAAAGTTTTGAATTAAAAAGCCTTGAATGACCCCACAGCTATTTCTTTTTTGATATTAATAGACTCAGAATATTTGAATTTATAATTCAGTTAGGCACTATCATCACATCGTATTTTTCACTAACAACTTGATACTCAAAATATCTTTAATTTCTTATTTCCAGGGATAATTTTTAACAACACCAGAACGGTATGCCCAACACAATTTTTAGTCTTATTTGTAAGAGTATTTTTTTATATATACAAAGTCCTTCTGGCTTCGGTGTTTAAGATTTGGTACAAGGTTGATCGATTTGTTTTTATTCCAAATTCTTGATGTTCTTTCTTAAATTTGATGTAACCAACCGCTTATTAGATTTTGCATCAACGTAACGAGAATCGTGTCTTCAATGAAGTTAGAAGTTAGAATGAAGTTAGTTAGAGCTTAGCCTGTTTGTAGAAAGTTTCATGTCATGGTTCTCTTAATGGTTAAATACGAGACATTTTGCCTACTTTTACAAGTAATTTATAGAAATATTTAAGTTATCATAATCTTTTCTGCATTCTAAAGCTGTGCATGAATATCTTGGCAAAGGTGGATGCTAAACTCCCACATATTGAAGATATTTTCAAATCATTTTTTTGCATATTGCTTCATCTGTTATTCCGGATGAGCGAGTCATTCACTTGAATGCTAAAGCTACCAAAAGACCCAGAGAAATCTCCTACATTAATTAAAGTTGATGATAAGTTTTAGGGATAAAATTTTGCATACTCTAAATCTAAATCAAGAGTGGTTGCTGTGAATATATATATATATATATATATATATATATATATTGTCCTGAATTACAAATAGCCAACAGTTCTTGACATTCTAGCAAAATTCAAGTCCGTTCGGAGTCACATAACTCGATTTTTCAGAGTTCCAACTCTAGTAGTTTGCCTTTCGAATATCGACGAGGGCGCATGAATTCAGTGGTACGTCTAAGAATCTTCACCCTCATAAAAAATGAACTCACAAGAAGAGTAAGAGTTCTTTCATAAGCTTTAAATAAATTCCTGTTCACTATTTAAAAAAGGAATTAATAATTTACGCAATTAGATTTGATTCCAGTTGAAATATTATTAGAAAGCACTTATTGAATAGCTTCATTTTTATTCAGTGGTTGGGATTCATTGAAATGAAGTCCTATCACAAGCAGAATCATATTTTTCATACCATTTCAATTGACCACGGTTGAAAGATAATTTATTAAAATGCTATGTTGAAGTATTTTAATGAATTTTCATGAGTTTCTATTATATTGACCAGTTTGGAAGGTTTTCAAAATCCTCAAATAGTTACTTTCTTTTGAACCAGTGAGAATGAAATCTTAACTTTGAAAGCCATTAAAAGTCAAATAGAAAATAAGATTCAAAATAAACTGCAGATGTCATTGTTACTTGAATTCATATTTGCTTATTTACTATACACAATTCAATTTGTGGAAATTTAACTCCAAAATAATGAACAAGAAATGATAAAGTTCAATGTTGTGCCCTGAATGGTTTTCCAAAAATTATTTGACAACTCACATCGTGGAGTAATAAATAAAATATTGCTTTTTTCCATTTAACTTGTATCTTAACCAGAAAATTAGTTAATTGGAGTGAAACTTTCGTACATCAATAACATAAATTTGTAATTAAAAGCATTACTTGAAAATAATGATTATCAAATCATATCAAAGCCATATAGTCTACAATGATTTGTTATTTAAAGTAGCTAATTTCAAATAAGGGTGGTGAGTCATCCTAATTTTCAGCCATTTTACTGTTATGAAAGAGGTGAAATATACACTATTTCATTCATTGAATTTCTGCCAAGATAATTGAATCAACATATTTCTGATTAAATTAAAATTTGTTCGAATGGAACTAAATGGTTTTTGAAAAAAGCCTCACTTAGCTAATCTTAAATTTTGTTAAATTTGCAAAAATTTTGCCCTTGAAGAAGATGTACACGAATTTGCATCTATTTAATTCAATGAATTAAAATAATGAAGCCGACTCAATTTTGCACTGAAACTTCAGGGCTTTCATACATTTCACTTTTTACCGAAAAATAATAAAAAAACTGAAAATGATCTAATGACTTTATATAAAATATACAAATTCATTATTCAAATAAAACAAATCATTCAATTATAAATGATATGCTAGTAATATTCTTTGTTCTGTCAGCCATCACCTTTATTATTAATTATTCCCTCTTTTGAAACAATTTCTGAAAGGATATTATAATGAGTTTAATATGTTTTTATTGCACTTCACATGCCTCATGAGGAGTTTATTTTCAAATTTCTGGGAAAACTCATTTATCTCTAATGATGAGTTTCTAATATATAAGTAGCAATAATAAGTCACAATGGGTGTTGGGAAAATTATCTGCCTATTTTCTGACTATTTTTGATATGATGCTTCAAAAGGGGGATAATACTTTAAATTAATAATTGAAGAATCTGTCAGACAGTTCCTAATTTATAAAATATTTATGGAATTTTCTTATGAATAAAGAGTGGGTTAAGGAACAAATTCGAGCAGAATCGCAAGGGGTGTGATTTAAGCCAAAAACAATAATTTTATTTTAATTCCACGGATAAATAATAAAGGAAAAACATTTTCGACGATCCAACAGACATATATTCTTCAAATACATGGGTTGGCTTGCATTATATTTCATTTTTAAGCTTTATTTAATTAATTATATTGCGCATATTGTTGAGCGAGTTTTATTAAGTATTCAATTTGATAATAGTATCAGATTTAATAGGAAAATGACAATTTCATCTTACTAAAATTTCTTTCGCCCTCTTGAATAGTTCATCACCTTCTGCAATTTGTCTACCTGCATCGTAAATACCAAAAATTCCAGAATGGACGAAATTGAATTTTGTAATACGATAATTTTTTGTAAAAATAACTGTATTTTTAAATATCATTTCTGACTGCTTGTCATGAAATAAATAAAGCGTCTATATTGGTTGAAATTTTAAATAAATAATTAAGCATGTTAAAAATAGATTACTAATTAACATGTTAAGACAATCCCAAGGGAAAAGGTAGGCTTTCTAACATTATTATTATTTCAAATGGCAGGCTTCGTGATATTTATCATTAGCCCTTAAACTTTGACTTCAGCTTCCCCAAGGGTAGGGGCATATGGGTTGACTGTATACTCCCAATCTGTAAAGGTGTTTTGCCAAGCAATCGCGTCCGGTACGTAGTCTAAACTCAGCAACGGCTTCGATTCTTGGCCAGTCGACTATGTCAGAGAGTGCCACTGTTTTGCCTTTGAACGAGTTTTAAGTTCGTTGCACCTTGAGGTCTGGAATTCTCTTCTGATTAAGCCCTTCATTGTGTGGAAAGACATCGGCCGGTCCATGCATTGCAAGTTCGTTGTCCACTTCTTAGCAAGTGTGTCAGCAAACTCATTGCCTTTAATGCCACAGTGACCAGGGATTCATTGCAGGACCACCGTTTTGTTTTTCTCTTTCAGCAGCTCATAGAGTTTTCTACATTTCTTTATCTCAACTATTTTGGGTGGCTCTCTGTTTCCAATTGAGTTTATTGCTGACTGTAAGTCCGAAAGTATTACCGCTTTGGTGAATTTAGTATCTATGCAACAAAATTGGCATAGAGCTATCCAAATGGTCTCTATTTCTCCTTCAAAAGCGGATCTATTGTGTCCCGCGGCTTTCTAACATCTCCTGCAGTCAAATGCACATTTATGCTTCTCAGAAGTTATGACAATTTTTATTATTATCCTTGGCATAAATTCTACTTAAAATTTATAAATATAAGCCTAACATCTTCTATTAAAAATTTTGGCTTCCGCTGACTTATTTTTGCCACATCATGCCTTCTTGAGATTTTTTTAATAATTTACATTTTTTACTGTTTCAAAAGTTTAATATTCATTTTTATAAGATAGCAGCGCCAAAAGTGCTTTCAGTCATACTTAGATCACTTAATTGAACCATAAATAACGCATGACTGCTAATTATACCTTAATTACTGTAAATGACCAATAAACCAAACCTTCAAAAGTACTTGCATTTATTTAATTTGCAGGTTTATAATATTTCCCTTAAGTTAGAAATTAAATTCTCGCTCTATGAGCGACGTGCTAATTGAAGTGAGTAGTACTTTTAACGAAAGAAGATTTTAAATTAGATAAATTATTATCATGGTTAACAAATAAAAATAATTGATAGTGCGGTATAATTTATTCGTAAAATTGCAGCTTCGTATGGCTAAAGAATAACACAAGACATAATATGAGAAATGGCAGAAATTTAAAGTAACCATATTTTTAACAATAAATATAGTCTACACACTCAATGGAAGGATAGTGTGGATAAAAATGCTAACCGAAATCTGTATAATGGCAATTAAGGGGGTATTCTGGTCTAGAGGCATGCATTTTAGGTCATTTTTGAAGTGCTGTAAAAAAGGCAAGCAATATTTTAATTCTCATTTTTGTACATTATTTATTAACATTAGAAGCATAAAAAATAAACAAATTAAAATTCCGTTAATTATCAGCTGATGAAGTGGAGCGTCTCAAAAATATGGTGCGTGACCATACCCGCGATTTAACTCTCCAGGCAATCTGAAATCAAAAAATAAAAAAGATTATCAATCAATAATAATGTCGCTATGTCCGGTACTACGGAATAGCTATAGAAATATTTTTTTACAAAATGGCTACTGTCTAAAGGAAAAA